TGATCTCCCGCACGCAATGCCTTATCACCCTTCCTTCTTGCCATTGTGCCACTTGACTGTTACTGTTAGAGAACCAAAGTCAAATAATATATAATAAAAAAAACGCTAATAAATTTTCTGAATTAAAAAACGCGCGTAGTTCGAATGTTCCAATCAGATCTTGCCACGCAGTCGTCTTCCTCAAGTGACTGTCGTTTTAGGTCAAGATCTTTTTACCCACGAACATTTTTATAGCTATAAATCTGCATATCTCCAAAATTACAACCATGCAATATAAATTTAATCCAAGTATATAGATCAACTAGGTTTGATCTCATGAATACAATGGTACTCTTCTTTTGCCCTGATTTTCCCTGAAATAAGAAACCCTAAAACGGACCTTGAAACTCTAACAACCGCATTCAGTCAAATACGCATCAAAACACACAATTAATCATGCAAACATGTTTCCAATGGTCATACAAACATGAATGCATACTTAAAATTCGTTTATTATGCGTAAATTATCAAAATCAAATTCAAGAAAAGTGAGTAAATCGTGGTTCTGTATGGGGCGTTTCTGGTTCCTTTTATGCGTGGGAATGATCCAGGTAGCTTCCAAATGCTGTCAGGAATGGATTGTAACCTTCAAAATTCTTTGAATCTCCTTGTATCTCAAAATTCTATCACCACTTTTTGTCTAAAAAACTTGAGTTTTTGTGAGTGTTCTACACGGCCAATCCCTTTTCTTTTGCTCTGGGAATGTTATGAATATATAATAGAAGCAATTAGGTCAACAAAAACTGAATGAAATCTTGAGGATTTATGAGAAAATATTTGATTTATGTCTTGTATTTTTTGTTTCTAAAATACTCCAAATCTTGCTATTTTTATTCCAATCACCACTTGCACGAAATCCTTGATTTGCCAACTGATTATAGACTCATCATGTGCTCATAAAATCAAATCTTGGATTTTATTTTATTATTCCACTATTTTATTTGATTTATTTTGATTTTAATCAATAAAAAATCAAAACAAATAATAAAGATAATGAAATAATACATGAGTAATCTCAGGGGTCGTGGGTCATGTTAGGAACAAGTTTCAAACATCATAACATGGGCCCATTTGGAAAAAATTCAAGTTGGTCAATATTGAATTCATGCACATTTCCAAAAATTGGTCAACTTTAGGAATGCATATCTCTCTAATTTTTAACCCTAAGAGGGTGTTCTTAGACTTTTTAGAGAGCTTAGAATGTCCTATAAGAAACCCTTTTTGTTTCATCTCAATTGGATCTTCCATGTTCATGTAAGGAGCTTTGACCCAAAAGGTGTTTTTGTTGACTGTTTGAAAGGACCTATAATGTATGAACTTGTATCTTTTGATTGAGGAATTTCTTGGACTTGTGGAATGAAGAGAAGTGTTAGGAAATTGGATTCTATTCAAAATGATACTTGGTTGGAATGATAAAGTATGAGAAAGTTATGCTTGGTCAAAGTTTGGTTGACTTTTCCTACAGAAACCTTAATTTGCCATTTTTTACTTTTGATGCGTTATGAGCATTTCTTGAGGAATCATGATCAACCCTTGATCAAATGATGGATATTAATTCAAAATGTTGATGTTGACTAAAATCTTGAAGTTTGACTGTATTTGGGCCACAGTTGACTTTTGACCTAGTACAGTTGATTTCCAAGCATTTGAGCAGTTGACTGTGCAAACTTGTTGTTCAAGGCATGAAATTTGGAATGGATGATATTGAGGACATATTAGGACAATGGAGGACATTTTGGATCCTTTGGACTCACACATCTTTCTTAGGAGGGAAACCCTAGTTTGAGGCTTATTGTCTTAGGAGGAGAATTTGTCTGGTCAATTCTTGGTCATCCTAGGACTAGTTAGGGACCTCAATGGGCATGTGTTAAGTGAAATGAGAGGGAAAATTTTGGGGTACAACACGTTTTTATCGGGTTTACCTTTTGTTATCTTAGCAAACATTTTCGGTTAGGTTATGTTTTGATTATTTCCTTCCATTGTTTAGGTTCTGTTTTGATTAGTTCCTTCTCTCTGGCTTATCCATTTTGATCGGGTTTACCTTCTGTTAGCTTAGCTAACATTTTTTATTAGGTTATTTTTTTATCATTTCCTTCCCTTGTTTAGGTTTTGTTTTGATCAGTTCCTTCTCTCTGGCTTATCCGTTTTGATCAATTCATAAATTCAAGGTGCATTTGTGGCTTGGATTATAAAGTGTAGACTGTGGTCATGGTGCAAGGAGAATATAATCTGAATTCATCTATCCACAACACAATCAATTAAGGTTTTTATTTTTTTTATTCAAAGAGGTGTCTTTGGCTTGGAGTGCAAGGTGTGGACAATATGAACTTCAACATTGAATCCGGTTTTTCTATGAAATTCAAACACAACGTAACATTTGATTAAGATCCAAGTATTGATTCAAGATCTTATTTTGAGTTATAAGGCAAGCGTCGTGGTTAGTGCAAGTATTGGATTCATTTGCCTTTTGATAACATAAAGCCAAGATTTTGATTGACAATATTATTTTAAGCATGTAATTGAAGTTCAACTATGGTGGAACTATGAAAGGTACATAACTTGATTCGAACATCATGGAATTCATCATTCAAGTATTGATTCGAATCCATTCAAATAATCAAACATAATTTAAGGTTCTAAACAAGGTTCTTTAAATCCCATTCAAAAGACATATGAATCCATTCAAGTGCATTTCATTCACTCGAGTTCAAATACAAGCTCAAGGTTTCATGTAGCTTATTACAAAGTCATGCTTAAACCAACTTATTATCATTCAAGATTTGAAATAGTTTAATGTTTGGAAAAGAAAAGAAGCTCAGACTAGAAAGTGAAGATGGAACAAATTTTCTTACAAGACAATACAAGGTTTATCCTATTACAAGTACAAGGTGCCATTACATGCTTGAAGCACACAAAAAGAAATAATTACAAGGAATTTGGTTTTATGTTTCTAAGCCTAAAGCTCTAAATTCTTAAGGCCACAACTCCATGCTTTCACCAAACTATGCATTTGCTGCTTCTTACCAGTCTTTATCAGCATACCTTGGCTTCAATGGAAGGGAACTCGATGGCCTGGTTAGCACTTTTGTTTCTATTGAAGAGTTTCCTGAGGCAGATGAAAATATCAGGATTGGAAAAATAATGATTCCAATAAAGATAACCTACTCAATCAGACGAGACTTTGGGGAATTTGTCAAGGATAGCCAAAATATTCTAGCAAGTAATAAATAGAAGTACAACCATTTTGGTTCACAAAAAAACTGCATCAAGGAAAATTCAGAGTTAATTCAGAAATTGTATCAAAATAACATCATTACAATCATGTAAACCAATTGCATACCAGTAGTTCAGTTCCAATTCAGAAATCTAGTCCCTGCCTAAAACCCTCACATCTTCTTGTTTAGCTTCAACATAAATCATAAAATACGAAAGGAGTATATTATAAAATTAGGAAATGCTTCTGACCAGATAAAATTGAATTCACAACAAACATGTATTCAAACCAACTGACAATTAGACTCAACTGGCCCTGCATACAATTGCTAAAGTCATGCCAAAGCGGTTCCAGACCTGCACCGAACTTGAATCCAAATATGGCAGCCCTACTATGTTCACAAACATAATAAATAGCTTAGTCTCACAGTCCACAATTTTGAAACCATAAAACTGTAAACCAGCCCTACATTTTGTTCATACCAGAAATCAGAAAACAATGAAAATAGCAGAAAGTCGAGAATTAATGACTAACAACACTCACTAACATAAAATCAGGAAAAGAAGAACAAAACTCATAGTTTTCCAACTCACCATCAATTAACAGAAAACCTTTCTAGCTAACTGCCATAACAGAATTCCGTAAGGCGGCTAACTCAGTAACAAAAGTAAACGGCCAGCTCATCAACATTAAACTAACTCAAGAATTAGAACAAATATTGACCATTCAGTTTATAACAGAAATCCTCTAACTTAACTTTAAAAGAGTCAATAACTAACTACTAACAATTTAACAGATCTCTAACCAATTTCTAACTAACTTATCCTAACTGACTCTAACAAACTCTAATTGTCCTAAGAGAATATAAAACAAACAAAAACTCACTTTGCATGGGATTCATTTTTTTTCAACGGCCAGAAGAGTCAGAAATTCTCTCTTCTTCCTCTCCCAAACTCTACTCTCCATCTACTTCATCATTCCTTGAATCACTAGAAAAAAGCTCTCCCCAAATTTATTCTTCCACTCTCCAATTCCGAAAGGAATCACTTTTCAATTCTCTCTTCAATTCTATCTTCCATAATCTACCTTCACCTTCAACCTTCAGCTTCTCTTCAATCTTCAACTTCTACCTTCAACTTCAACCTTCATCTTCTCTTCATTCTTCAACTTCTACCTTCAACTTCAACCTTCAGCTTCTCTTCATTCTTCAACTTCCACCTTCACCTTCACCTTCAACCTCAGCAAGCCTTCACCTTCTCCAAATCTCTGAAAATTCATCACATCTTCATCGCATCATCAACACCATTTTTTTCCGCATAGCAAGAACTTTGCATTATTCACAATTCGACAACTGCTTCATCACACGCAAGCAATAATAATCCCTGCGCATCCTTCATTCAAGTTGGATTGAATCAACAATAATGCACAATATCATAGATTTAACAACATAAAAATAGAAAGATAAATTGAAGAAGAAGATCTATGAGATGTTTACCTAGATTTCACGTTGAAGGTTTTTTCTCTCCGAATTTCTTGCATACTCGTCGTCTTCAAAGAATCACCGGAGTTCTCTGGTAGGTAAGTGATGCCCCTTTATTCATAGTTTTTCTTCACTGTGTGAATCGTGTGCGTTTGTTTGTGTTATAATCGGTTGAATTCATTAAGAACTCTAAACCGGTATTGAGTAGAAGAGGTGGTAGTAATGAGCGATGGTGATCGCGAGTTGTTGAAGCACGATAGCTAAAAATCAAACAGCACTGAGATTGTGACTGAGTTTGAACCACGACGAAAGTGCGGATTCGGAGGTGAGATGAAAAAGGTATGGGTTGGAACCACGGTGGCGAAGCGGATCAGCGTTGAGAAGAAGAATGTCGTCGCCGATTGCAAACCGGATTTGAGTTTTGTGAAGAAGAGGATGAGTTGAATTGCCACACAATTTCTCAACCCTATCCAAGCTCTCCAATATGCAGCGTTTCATGCTCCTCTTCTTATTTTTCCTTTTTTGAATTAATTTTTTTTATGTTAATAAAAAAAAGAGGTGAAGGATAAGTATGCGGATTAATAATGTGATGATGAATTGGGTTGGGTGATTACCTAGACGGAATCCTTCCCTTTGAGGTCCATTACATTTTTTTTGGAAGCTAATTGTTGAAGCACAAGAAAAATACTCTCCTGGGCTCAATCTGCATGGGCCTAATGCCTTTGTTGCTGGTTTCGAACTAATATTCAGTTATATACCCCCTCTGTAGTAGTTTATACTAATTGTTTTGAGTCACTTTTTTTTCTTTGCAATAATTTCAGTAGATTTTGTTGATAAAAATGTGTGAATAAAAAATAGTAGAGTATTGTAGAATTTTTTCTAGAATTTCTTTTAGAATTTTGTTTAGAATTTTCTATCATCGGTTATGTTTACTAATCATTTTGCCCGATCTCGTGATTCACCTTTGCTTGTTGAGATTTGAGTCTTATGCAGATTCATTGTGCGATACGCGAATATGCTCGAGATTTCGTTTGTGATTTATTTTCACATTGATGATGCTTCAACATTTATCCTGAGCATTTAATTTCAGACTCTTTTCTTTGATTGGTGAAGCTTACTCGAAGTTTTCCGGGTTTCGCTGCTTTGCTTGCCATGCTACGAACTTTAGTTTGTTTGGTATTTTCTCTTGTTTAACTTATTTCACACTTTATTGATTTCTAGATATCATGAGAAGTAGGAAATAAAGAATGTGCACTCGAAGTCGCTGTTTAAAGACCTGTAGCAGGCATTCCGCACTTCATTTGTTATACATGTTATGCTTGTGTTTGTTTCCTTGGTTGTTGATCGATGAGTCACTTAATTTATAAATTGAGGTCACGACTTCGCTCTTAGTGCATGCTCCTTATAGGATTTCATCGCTTTCCTTTATTTCTTGTTGATCGATGAGTCACTCAATTTAGAAATTGAGATCACGACTTCGCTCTCTTTGTATGTTCCCCATAGGATAGTTTTGTTAGACTTTCTTTGGTATGCTAGCCTAGGTAGAATTCTCTAGTTGTGCTCTCTTGAGCTTATTGGCTTGCTTGTTTAATTTCATTTTTGTGTGCATGTTTTGAGATGATATACCCTCGGCATGTTCCCTTAGGAGATCTCGATTCAACTATAGATGATGATTCGAGATAGACATAGTTTTAGGTGATAGACCCTTGCTATGCTCCTTTAGAACTTCTTGATTCATCTATAGCTGATGAGTTGAAATAGAAATTAGGATTGTTATCCAAGCATGTCAACATAGGATAGAGATTTCCCTTCAAAACTCAACCATAGGATCAATCATTGTATGATAACAATAGGAATAGAGATAGACTAGTCTCCATTAGATGTTTTCTTCCCATTTTTGGCATAAGTGCATTTAAAACAATAACTCTTTTCTTGAAAAAGCACAAAGCATCTAACAACTTTCAAATCCTTCTTCAAGGTAAAAGCTATCAACCAATGCAAACTCTTTTGCGCCTTCGGGATTTTCTTTCAAACTTTTTTTCAAAAGAACATGTTAATTCACTTTTGTGCTGACGTGTAAATCTCCAAAGGTCGAGTTGTGGCAGAAGGAGAAATTAATATTGTTCATTAAAAGATACAAACCAACCAAAACTTGTGAGCCGAAATACGGCTGCTCTAATTTCTTAAAAGGGATACGTAGGCATTGGGGTAGGGCCCGAACAAGCACAACTTTCATTTTTCCTACATTATTTTCTCTTTTCTTCTTGCATGCATTCCCCCTTTGCATTTTATTTTATCTATCAAGTTTAGATTTGAACACACCCATAAGATTAGAGCAACAAGAGTGGATACCATAGATTACTATGGGCATGTGGGATATTAATACCTTCCCTTCGCGTAACAGACTCCCTTACCTGACCTCTCAGTCGTTTGATCGTGATTTCACCCTTCTCAGGTTTATTTGATATTTACCTTTCCCTTCTTATGGGATAAAAAAAGTTCGATGGAGACTTCATTGATTTCATTATCAGTTGATTGTTCAGCCGGTTGTTTCAATATGTTGTATCTTCAGTGATGTTGGGGTGGGTGATTTCACTAGATAAGTCCTATACCCGAACTTGGGGTTACACTTAGGATTAGGACGGGCGGTATAGTCATGTTAACTTTGAGGGAGTAATCCCGAAGAAGGAGGCATGAGATCCACCACTCAATGGAGGTCCCTTTGAATGTAGCATTGTTTACAATTAATTGGGAAGACATGTTGCTTTCGACCTTGGAACCAGAGAAGTTGAGAGCCGTAGAACCATTAACCCATCCTGGCCTTTTTATGTGTAGTGCGGAGGCTATGACGGAGTAATCCGGAAGTAGTTGTCACTCCATGCTACAATTGGACGAGTGTTTCCTGTGCATATTACTAATTACCGACTAATTACCGAGTTTTCCCTAGAACCTTATTTGGCAGGTGATAAACCCTTAGTACATACCTTATGGGTGATTACATTGACACCATGCTTATGACATTGGACCTTTGATCCTGTTACTTTCAGTTTATGCAAAGGACTACACAGTGGTTATCCAGAATATGTGGAGTTGGGATATCATGCCATAGCATACCATGACATCATACCATCATATATATGCATCTTATATCTAAGGAATTCCAAAGACAAGTCTCATTGGTTGAGCTCCTCAAAAATGAAGGAAAAAAAATTGTTAAGAGACACTTATGAACAGACGAGTCTTTGGATTTCCTCGGAAATAAAGATGAAACATGCACTCATATTATCATGCATTCATTATTCACAACAAAAACTTATTGGGTTCCCTCTTCATTAGACTTCATTGAACAGCAAAGACGACTTCTATACATCCCTACTGTACTAGAAACAACCAGTGAATACTTATGGATCTCTACGAAGAAAATCAGAGTGCTCTCCGCCGAGATATAGACACCATGGGAACCCGAATGGACCAGCTTATGGAAACCCTTCATGTTGTCATCAAGGGTCAAGAAGAGCTACATCAAAGTGTTTCTAAGCTTGCCACTGCTGCCCCTCCACTTCTGCAAATGGAGGGAATAATAATGCGAATGTTGAGACCCCTATGGGAATTCCTCAAAATAATGTTGATGATCATCACAATGTCATTGATCTTGATGAGCCCCACGCAAATCTCGCTGCTGGAGTTGCTGAAACTGAAAAGATGTACCATGCTCTTGAAGAGTGTCTCAAAGCCATGGAAGGTATCAAGGCTTTGGGATTTAATACTGCTACAATATGCCTCGTGCCTGGGGTAGTTATTCCTCCCAAGTTCAAAGTTCTTGATTTTGACAAATATAAAGGCACCTCCTGCCAAGAGACTCATCTTCGTTCTTACTGTCACAAGATGGTAGCTTATGCTGAAAATGAACTGTTGCTCATGCATTTATTCTAAGACATCTTGACAGGGGCACCGTTGGACTGGTATATGCAATTAGAGAGAACTCATGTTAGTACTTGGTGAGAGCTTGCTGACGCTTTTTTGAAACATTACCATTATAATATCGCCATGGCTTCTATCCTCACTCAGCTCCAAGGGATGACACAGAAATCCGAAGAGTCTTTTAAAGAGTACGCCCAAAGGTGGCGTGAACTGGCTGCAAGGGTTCAACCTCTTCTCTTGGATCGTGAACTGATTGATTTGTTCATGGGTACTCTACAAGGTCCTTATCTCCAACACATGCTCAGAAGTACCTCTACTTCTTTCTCTGATATTGTCATTATTGGAGAATCTGTTGAAACTTGTATTAAGGCCGGAATGATCCAAGGTATCCCTAACAATACCAACAACAATACTGGCATTGGTAGGAAGCCGTTTTCTGGTTTCATAAAGAAGAAAGAGGGTGAGACTAGTGTTGTCACCATTAACCAAGGAAAAGCTCATGCATATCCTCAAGTTTGATTTCCTTATTTCCTAACACGTGATGCTATTCCTAATCAATATGTTCCTCAAGTGTATGCTACTACAACTCCAGCACCCTGGATGGCCCAACAACAGCCTTTCGCTCCTCAACCACAGTATCTTCCACAATAATAATTCGCACCACCTCTGAATTATCAACCACATAATATGCAACCTCAAGATCCAAGAGTTCAACAGAGACAAAGAGGGATCGAGAGGATATTTGATCCCATTCCTATGTCTTATGCTCATCTTCTCCCTCAATTTATTGCCAATCAGTTGGTTCAACGGCGTGAACTTGGTCCACCACCAAATCCTCTCCAAAGGGGTATGATATTAATGCTCATTGTGAATTTCATTCTCGAGCCCCATGCCCCACGATTGAGAATCATAGAGCATTTAAATGTAAATTCCAAGACCTCCTCGATGCAAAGACCATAAATTTCAACCCTGTCGGACCCAATATTCAGAATAATCGCATGCCTCCTCACCCAGGGGTAGCGGTCAATGCCATTGAAGAAGGTAGTGAGCAGATTCTGGTAACCAAGGTTGACGAGATCAAGATGTAATTAAGGACTATTAGAGAACATTTGTTGAAGCAGGAGGTGTTGCAAGAACTCCATGATTTTTTCTAACTATGTTCCTCTAAACCTGAAGAGTGTGCTAGTTTAAAGACGGCTATCAAAAAGCTAATGGATGAAGGTGTCCTACAGGTAGAGAAGGTATTTCTAGAAGAAGAGATTGATGTATTAGAAATTCCTTATTATCCGAGGAACATCTTAGTAACACAAAGCGCCCCGTTGATGATTCAGGCTCCTGCTACCCCATTAATGATTCAAGCTCCAGTTACCTCCATGATAGCTCAAATTCCTATTCATCCTCTATGTGACAACTCAAAGGCAATTCCGTGGGAGTATAATGTGGTCTATACTCTTGGTAAGAAATATGAGTGTCCCCCAGTGGTTGACAAGAGTATTACCAACATCGCATGAACCAGTGACATGACTCATAGTGAAAGGGTCTTTTCTCCCCCACCACCGCCTCCCAAATAAACCAAC